TATTTCAGTGAAAGGTTTTCAACAAGCTCTATTTCTGAAGCTGAAGTACTTCAATTCCCAATGACCAAATTCATTAAAATATAAATTAGCGTAAAGAAACATATGAATCACAATGGTATATTTACATATCATCAATTTGGTGTGCCTATAACGGTTTCTTCATGTAGAGTAACAGCTACTGCAGTTTTCACAACCACAGAATTGAATAAATGACTGTGGGGCAAATAAGAAAGCAAAAAGGACAAGGATGAAAATTCTTTCTGCTGAATGGGGAAAAATACTGCAGAATTCTGCAACTGAAATTAAAACCTGTGTTAAACCAGTTTCCTTCACTAAGACATATCTTAGCCAATCAATTAGCATTGACTGTCTCAGTATTCTAATAATAGGAAAGGATTTAAGGAAATGTCATGTTTCGTTTGTATTTTCAGAACTGTAGCTAATTACTGATTATTGCACAAGAGTGAATATCCTCTAAGAAATAGAAGTGAAGAGGATGGAATGAGAATGTCTTATCTCAGGGGAGTTAAATGATCCTCCTGCAGTAAGACCTTTGCATCCTCAAAAGGCAGCAACAGAAATTTCTCATAAAGTTTGACCTGTTGTTCTGTAAGTAATATATCCGAGACTCCAATACAGAGTATCTTGTCAGTTCCTTTTAATAAATGAAGCTGAACTGATACAGAAGCTTGAGTAGTTTCTCTGACCTGTACCAGTTCTCTGCTCTATGCCTTCACATGTATTTCCATGAATTGTTGATACACTTGGCCAGTGAATTTTCTGTGGCTTCAAAGCTAAGCGTTTCACTTTGCCTTGTATAAAACACGCCCAGAAGCTGGATTCTGAAGAAAATACGTAGAGGGGAAAATATTGATTTTAGATGTTAGGATAATCTAAGAAAATTAAAGGGTAAGGGAACCCTTTTTTCTTTTTTTTTAGTATTTGTCATTTGTTGCAAATACTTCCCAGAAAATTACTTTGTAGTGAAGTAATTAGCTCCACATAGCAAACATTAACTACAAATATTGCATTTTTGACATCCAGAAAGTGCCATGACAGTCTTAAGAGATGTTGTTCTACATCTCTTCTTCATCTTTCCAGGGGACAGGAGGAAGAAATGATTGGTTAGTCTTCAAGAATGATGGGCATCAGGTTCATTGCTGGATTTTCTGAAAAGGCTTGTGTTTGATATCATAGAGCACAAACCCGATTAGCTCTAATGTAATTTGTTAGCTTTTGTGATGCAACTCAGTGTGTGTCATTGTGCATTCTCTGATCAAGTAATGTTAGGGAGAGAGTCAAAAGAGCCAAATAGCCACGGATTTATGCCCTTTCTAGAAATGACTAGGACATTTTGAATCCTATAGGAGAATAGACCTTTACATGTCTAACTTACCTAGAATATCTTTAGGAATATAACTTTTAATGCAGTCCCATCTTTCAGAGTCATCCCAGTGTTTCTAGATAAAATTGAAGACATATATGAAATATATATCTTCATATAAAATATGAAGACATATAAAATAAGGAACTGCTGAGTTTTCATCAAACTGAGAAAGAATAAATCATAAGATGTGAAAAAAAATGTTTCATGACTAAAGCTTTTAAAACAATGCAATATTACTGTATTGTCATATCCCACTAGTTCTTCAGTCACATGAGAACACAAAACATGTAAGTAATCTAAGCATGACTATTGCTGCTCTTTAGGAAAATGGTTCAATAATTCATTGATCTCCCATTGCTTAAGTTTACTGCCTAAGATATAATCCTCCTTTTTCTTGATATGGTCAATTTTTTTTGTAAGTGGAAGAATTTTTAATATTCAACTTGGTAGCATTTGAAATCAGCCTGAAATAGAAAATTTTATGAGCGTTTTATAAACTTCATTTAAACTGAATCCTAGGAAATGTGGGAAAAAAGTATTGCAGATGAGTAATTTTTAAGGAATTGGGAGGAAGAGACACCATTATGTAAAGGAATGTTTAGTATCAAAGCATATAAATAGCTTTAGCTGACAGCAGAACAATAACTTCAAAAGTTAACAAATCATTCTCAAATTTTGATAGAAAAGGAAGCTAGAAAAAGAAAGCTAGATTTATTCCATTCTGAAGATAAGAAAGGCTATTTTAATTGTGATTTTAAAGAATTTTTCAGACATGCTCAACTTTTGATTTCAGTGTTTTTCATCCTGATTTGCACTAATAAAAACTAGGTGCAAATGAGTAGTGATGAGTCTGTATTGAAGTTAAACGAATAGTTGAAAATGTCTATGAATATTCATTTAAATTCAAAAATTAACTCCAAATTGATCATGCCTATGACTTTGCGAATTTGCTTTCTACAAGCATGCATGCGCTTGAAATTACCTTTCATGAATATTTGCAAAAGCAAATTTTCAATTAGATATTTCATATACTTGCAGAAAATAATTTTTCAGTGATATATTTAATTATGAGATTTGGATTTTACATCATGCTGCCTGATATTTGTGATCTGTTCTGTGGGAATGCATGTTTGAAGGCCTCCGGGAAGGTTTTAGCTGGATGGAACACTTTGGAAAACCTTTATCTTGTGAATTAAAGGATTCATCAAGAATCACAAACAAATGAGAATATACAAGAAAATAGGAAACTGTGCAAATTTCAACTTCCATTTGAGGATTTTTAAAAAAATATATTGAACATCGCACTTCAGCATTAAGTGAATCTTAGAGTCCAATTGCTCCTCATTTGTGTTGTCAGGCCATGATCATGGATGGCCAAGTTCAGTGACTATGTCCAAGGAGAATAATTTTAAGGAAGTGGATGTTTGGATTTTTAACCATTGAAGACAAGAATCATGATAGATTGCAATAGCTGATAATTTGGGGTAGCTTAGAAAAAGTGGTATACATGCAATGACTGTCACTGGAGCTCCAACATGGGAGTTTCAATTAGAAACTGACTTCATGAAAGAGATTCTAGATCTAATAAGATGTTTGCATAGAACTGTTCTCATGGTGTATCCAGTTTAAATGTTATCTAAAGCCCGCTGACTTGCAGGAAGAACTGACACTATAAACATATTCTTACTAAGGGACACGAGAGAAATGAGAGTTTGGCAAGTCTTCCATGTCAGGAGGAGAAATCAACACCAGCAAATGAGATGAGAGGATGGGGTGTGGGTCTGCTTGGTGCACGTATTTTTGTGTTTCTAGAAACAAGGAGAAGCAGGAAGGATGCTTGACCCTCCATGGATGCAGTAGGATCAGTTCTGGCCGGAGCTGTGGTGTGTGGGGAGGCTCAGAGGAAAAGCTGCTGGCAGCCTGTGGAGGTGACCACGGGACCCCACGGGCCAGCCCAGAGGGGTGAGCTCACCCACCCTGAACAAGGGGAAGGAGCTGCTCAGGGGGAACAGCCTGAGTGAGATTTGCACCTGGCCTTAGCAGCCCCCTGTGCTACTAATCTTGCAGGGGAGGAGAGGTCCTCATCGATAACGGCAGTCTAGGAATGCACTTCTAAATTTCAGTTTAGTTTTGTTTTGTTGTGCACAGGAGTGTAACCACTTATTTTGCTGGACTAAATGCGTCCTGATTTCATCTTTCACCTTGGCAGCTGAACAGCATATTCCCCATGGCTGATTCAAGGCACTTTCTTACTGGTGGAGCAAGGAAATACACACACACAAGTATTCCCTCGGAGCAGGGAGTGGTTTCCCAGCTAGTTACTGGAGCCAGCTGGAGGGCAGGTAACAGGCAGTGCTGAGTCACTCTCTCTCATCAGGCACAGCCAGTGCCTCTAACAAGCAGCAGGGGAGGGGGAGATGGTTTATGATGCATAAGGTACTATAAGAGATATCATACAACTCAAAATAAGATATTGAGTACCTTGAATTCCATGTTCAAATATTTTGCAAGCTCAATATTTTCCACTGTTTATTGAAATAAATTTGTAAGTAATTTAAAGCCAGGAATTATTTGGGGAAATTTCTGAGTGATTTTTAGATAATTTAAAAACAAGAAATGTGGGATGAATAAATTATTTTGTTATATTGCATCTTCATCTCTAGTTTGAATAGTGAGAGAATCTGGCCCCAGTGCCTAGAAGCCATACTCAAGGATTGGATTTCCTGTGTAAAAGCTATACAGTCCGATAACACAATTGTACTGCATATTCAGTTTTGATATGTAACCTTTTAAATAAATTGGAATACTCCTCGTGCCTATACTGGCACACACAGAGAGATCATAAACAATAATTTTGTAAAGGTCACCTCCTCACTAAGCGCTTGAGCTCATGGCAAGCACAGCATAGGGCTATTAAAGGACCTTTATGCTTCTATTTTTGGTGTCTGTTAATATTTTTGCAGCTTCAAAGCTCTGTTTAATATAAAGGCTGTGTAGTGTCCCATGCCATGGGTCTGTGCAGGTCTGTGCTGTGAGACCCTGGGCTGCCTCCCTGTGCATTTTCATGGCAAATGCCTTCTGGCTGTAGGATCTGGGGTTACTCGCAGCGTGGAGCAGCATGCCCGAGGCTGGCAGCATCCTTCCTGCTGGGAATGAGGGGGAACACAGCAAGATCCAAATGGTGCAGGCTTTTGTGTCAGTAGCATCTCAAGACAACCAGGTATCAGGAACCTGGGCAATACATGTGTCAGCAGTGGCTGAGGGATCTGCACAAGGTGAGAGTTACCAGATGCTTGCCAAGTTCAGCTGCATAGCACATTGCTCAGATTTTCCTGCTGCTGCCCTTCTAAGGTGCTAATGAAGTTGTTAGTTGAATAATTTTTTTTGGTCCAATAATTTTCTCTTGGTCTTGCTTGTCTCAAGCAAAATATTTTGTCTCAGAGGAAATGCTTGGAAGTTTATAGTCCATCCAACCAACATTAAAACCACATATATCTGCTGGTCTTCAGAAAAAAAAGCATTTTGTTACAAACTCCCTTTATGCTATACCCGTTGGAACTGTTCTTTCCTGTGATTGACAACATTGCCTAAATCAATATACTTTTATTTTCAGATCTCTATTATTTTGAAGAAATCTACATTTGTCCTGCTGACAGTGTAGGGAGAAGTTATTCCTCACTATAGTGGCATTAGAGGATACCCTCAGCAGGGTAAGTGGAGTCTATCTGGTGTCATTAAAATAGCCCCTAGTCTGAATGTGTGTGATATTTTCTGGGGGGCAGTAGAGCAGGAGGCTGAGCTGGTGCATTTGAACTCTGGGATTATTTCTTTCCTCTGCTGCCTGCTGGTGTAAAGCCACCATGGCTCACAGAAGGAGCAGGATGCTTGTAAGGATATTGGCCATACACAGAGGGGTTGTAACTGGAAAACACCACAGAGTGCCTGGAGAAAGGGTGCTTGATGTTGCAGGCATGGTCTCTCTAGTGGGCAGAGGTTGGTGCTGCCCACACAGGAGGTGGCTCATCCATCTGCTTGTGGGGACACTCCCACACCTGCTCTGGCAGAGCTGGAATTGCCCCCATCCCAGACACAGCACTATGTAAAGCCGGGGTCAGAGCTGGGGAACAGCCCAGGTACCCTCCAGCTTCTACTGCTGCCATCTGTGCTGCTGTGGTGTTTATTCAATACCTAGAATTTTGTTTAAAATTATTTCACTTCTCTCTCAGTGAGAAGCCCTTGAATGTACGAGTCAAAGCTTTGATTTTCTCTTCTGTGGAAGACCTGTGCCCAGCACCTGTCTGTGATCTTGGGGAGGTTACATGCACTCAACAACACAGCTATGTCAGCCTGAAAGTTTAAATAAAGTTTAAAGAGACACTCAGGTGTCTCTTATCCTGGAAAATCTCTTCACTCATTCTGAGTGCAAGCTGATAAAAATCCCTATTTCCTAGATTTAAAGTATCAATGTTGTTAGCTCCTTCTGCATTAATAGATTGTCTATTTTATGGGGTTCTTAATAACTCTACTAAATTTTAACCAATGTGCATGAATGAATTTTAAGGAAAGTCATAACATTATAGAAGTATATATTTGTACTTGTTCCACATTACTATACAAACTGTAGCTGTTTTTTTCACAAGCTGATAATTGTAGCTAGTAATTTTACTCCTTTGGCAGCATTTGTCTGACCTTCCATGCTTTCCCCTGCTCCCTGAATCAAAACTAATTGTTGGTAAAATACTACATAATCTTCCCAAAAAAGGGATAGAACTTCAATCTCATGATAAGAAACAAAAGAGGTAATTTCCCTTGTGATTGATAAGCATAATTTGTAAATGAACCTGCTTTATGGAATGGTGAAAAATGGTTGAAGCAGTTAAAAAAATTAATTGGATATCCAGAAAATAGATTCCCTGTAAGAAATAATATAGATTTGTAAATGCAGAATACAAAATTATTTATAGACATTGAATGAACAAATGAATTTGGCTGACATTGCCTTCCATTTACATAGAAACCATCTTTCACATTTTCTGTGTAGAGCATTTTCTATGTTCTGCTGTGACTGAGGGACAAACAAAGCACATGAGTCCTTTAAGGCAAGAGGAAAACATCCCGAAAGTCATTTTAACTGATTCCAAGAATTGTGCAGCAGGCAGAGATTCAGGGCACATGCAGAGATGGGGGCAGTGATGCCAGGGAAACAGCTGGTGTCTGGAAAGCCCAGTTTGCTGCTCCCCTTACTGCTCTGCGTGGAGACTGGGATGGAGCCCTTGGCTAATCAGGCCAGGCTCCAGCCAGGACACTGCTGGGGAGATTCTGGTCTGGAACTCGTGGCTTGGGAGGCCCCACCCAGCTGGGATTGAGTACAGCAAAACCAGGACCTAACTCCACAGTGCCATGGAGAATTGTAAAACCAGCTTCTTGCTTGAACACACAGACTCAAGTGGGAGAGACTGTACCAAAGAAGGGTTTCTAGGGTGGGCTTGTTTCAGTTCCCCTTGCACGGTAGACATTGCTCCCAGACTACATGGATACACGTGGGCATGTCTGGGTACTTCTGGCTCTTTTATCACAAGACTTGGAAGCAAATTTTTAATCTGTGGGCCTTTGTTTCTCTAATTCTTTCTGATCACCCCAAAGCTGAACAGCTGGTGAAGGACAAAGATATGTGTTTAAGGCACCAGTGCTGCAAAGAAACACAGTGTGGTTTGGTTATGTCATGTCATAACAGCATCCAGCACATTTCTTGTGCAGGGGGACCTAGGTGAACATCTCAATAGATGCAGCTAAATTGCACAAGCAGAGTCCAGCTCCTGAGCTCCATGGAATGGCAGGAACAGCTGGTTTAGAGGCCAGGGAGGATGACTGTCTGATTCCTCCTCTTCCCTCTGCATCCTTTCCCATCTTCTTGGTGAGAAGTACAAGAAACACCCATTTATTCTTCCTAGATGAAACTGTAGCTAATCCATAATGAGACATGCTGGTATTCTTTCTTGCTGCTCAGGTTCATAAAACACTCAGCAAGTTTTTCCAGGCTTAAAGATTCACTGAGATGAGCCTTGCATAGTGACACTGTGTGACCAAAAGCAAAGTGCAAAAATGCCTAAAATTCAGGACCTCAGTTCAACTCACTTTTGTTGGGACATTGCAGACAGGATAATGACATATGAATCCGAAAGAGAATTTTTGTATAAAAAGGCTAATAAATGTTTCCAATTTCTTCCACAGGCATTTTAAAAAAATGAACAATTATGCTGTCCTGTTCTGTTTCAACAATGAAAATAGTAGCAAACTATTTGAAATTAGCCATTCACAGTAACCGTGGCCAGGGAAAGGAAATGATAGTGTCAAGGTATGAGGGAGAGAGAAGCAAAAAAAAAAAAAAAAAAATAGGTTGCCCATTCTCCTTTCTTTCATCTCTTGCACAGTTTGGCAGAGAGTTCGGGAAGGGGCTTTTCGCCTCTTCAGGGAGAGACATAAACTTGGACCACACATTCTCAAACACTGCCAGCTTGTCATTCAGCTCATGCATTCAAGATGTTGCATATTAATAGCACTCCCTGATGACTAGTGGGTAGGGGTCTCTCCACCTATACAAAATAAGCCTCTTGGCACAACAAAGTACAAAAGAGGCCCATATAGGGAAAAAATGCACTTGAGAACTGGTTTGGAGAAACTCTGCACAGATGCTCATGTGCAGATGCATATTTCAGATGTTTTTTTCCTGATTAGCATGCAGCAAACTCACCTGTTTTGCTGCCTAAAGGAGTCACAGTGGACATGGAGAAACACCTGCGTGAGTTCAATTCTGTCTCCCTGTGGATATGATTTCCACCCTTACTCCACTGCTGTTCCATGTAGCCACTGAGACCCTTTCAATCCCCCTCTTGGACATGCCTAAGCCAGCAAGCACAGAGAGGTGCTTTGGGATGGAGACAAAGCATGAGCAGTGCAGGGTGCTGCATGTTGAGATGGGAGGAAGGGAATGAGTGGGTGCATTGGTCACACAGGTGCATTGGGGATGCTCAGGCCAGATGGGTTCTGGTGTGGCTGAGATAGTAGGATGCGCCCCCAGGACCTGCACAAGAGCCTTGTGTTTGTCATCTGCAAATGATCTGACACTCGGCACATACAGTGTTTCACCTGAGGTCTGGTCATGAGATTGAAGCAAATGAAGCAGGCTGTCTCCCCCTCCCCTGCAGTGTGCTGGTTACACGTGTCTGCTGTTAATTCTCACACTGCGCTCTGCAGGCAGATCCTACACACGCATGGGGAATAAATTTCCTTTGTGCTCTGCTCCATTGTAGTTTACTCCAATGGCAGAAAGCATAGCTTAGTTCTAACCATGTGTTTTGTAAAAATGAGCCTCAGGAGGAGAAAGTGGGGAGAGAGTTGCTTATACATGTGTCGGTATCTGATGCAATCCGCAGTGTGAGCCACGTTTTTCTGGATATTTCAGCATACACTGAGAATGACACATGAGTAGTCCAAGCTATTTTCAGAACTGACAGTTTTCCTTTTCACTCCAACAATTGCTTCTTCAATACACTAGAGTATGCAAAGTGCTTCAATAAACTTTTAATTGGGAGTAGGAGTAACAGTGAAACTAAGGGAAAACTTTAGGCAAAACAAGAGCTGACCTCAGCTCATACCTGTTTTGCAGGTTTGTTGTTAACTTTTTAAAAGAGGCTGCACACTTTGGCATTGATGGTTTCTGGCAAGGCTTTTCAGAAGAAGTCCTTTTTATGATGTTCTTGACCCAGGAGAGATCCAGAAATCTGCTTTGATGGGAGCCACGGGCTAAAGGTGTCTGGATATATTTTGATCTAAGCTCGTAGGTATTTCTCTAAAACAAAATATTCAAAATGTTTGAGATTTTCAGAAAATTTCCTCAGATCCTTACAACAGAAAACAGATTACAAGCAAAACTCTCTCATCTACAAGATAAATGTGAGATGGATTTTGCTATAATGGTACTTTCATACCCTTTGCCTGAAGTTTACTGACTGACACCAAGAACGCAAATATGCCAGGGACAGGGTCTCTACTTTTTCTTAAGCTGTCAAAATCAATTAGGGATCTGAGGCATGGTGGTGTATTTCCTAGGAACTTAATTTCTTTCTATTACCCTCCTGACAAAACTAAGCAATCTCTTTGGAGCTTGCAAAGTAAGGTGCATCCCACAGAGCTAATGCTGTGCGCACTACTTGTAGAAAGGTATGTTTAACAAAAGCTGCATTCTGGATGCCCTCCAAATATCATTACTATTGTTTAATTTCAGCTGCAGTTCAGCATCTGTTTAAGATAGTTTCAAAGATAATAATCTCACCAGACAGATACAAAATACAAAACTGATATTTCGTTGCTCAATTATTTTGTTTACTAGTGGTGTTAAACCACTCTTTTTATCTGAATCATGCAGAAGAGCTGTGGGTTTTTTACCTTTAAGCTCCTCTGAAAATATAGCTGTTTAGCATCAGTACCTATTTCTTTCCAGATTACGTTATATGAATGAGTTTGATAAGAGTCACCATGGTGAGGAAAGGATAATGGAATTTCAGGTAAGAGTTCTCCATAATGAATTCATTCCTTACAGCATGTTAACACCCACCCATGGAATTAGGGACCTTTGTAACACAATGCAACAATTTACTAGACATCACAAAACACCAATTATAGAATTGGACTGAAACGAGCTGCCAAATCC